GCTAGCCTGCAGCCCCTCCTCCTCCCAGGCTCCTGGGTTCACAGCAGGGGGGCGCAGGGATCACCCCAGGGACAGGGATCACCCACCCGCTGCCCTCTGGGCCTGGGCAGGCCCCTGGGCAGGCCCTGACCTCTTGGAGCCTTGTCTGTAGAGCAGGGGCCCAGGGTTAGAGGGATGCCCCGGGCCCAGGGCTGGCCATGAGGGAGTGCCCAACAGGTGAGCCAGCATCATCATCATCATCGTCATCACGGTGATGTAATCACCGACCCCCTCGCCCACTCCAGGACTGGCCCTCGCCCTGGTCCCAGGGGGCTTGGATGAAGCCTACTTTTGGGCTGGGGGCCGAGGGGCCGTGGTCCAGTTCTGTCATTGCCCCCCACCCCCCTGCAAGCCAAACCAGCAGAGGACCTAGCCTGAGGAGAGGGGGCAGGGAGGGGAGCCCCTAGCCTCTGACCCCCAGCACTGACCCTGGAACCCCCCTACACCCCGCCTGGGCGGCCTGGCCCCTGCGAGAAGGCCCCACGCTCTCTCCAGAGCTGCTGCACGCATGCACGTGTGCGTGCGCGCGCGCGCGCGCGCACACACGCACACAGAGCCAGCTTCTCTGCCCTGAGGCCCACCGGAGACCTGGGAACTATAAAATGCCCCTCCCATGTCCAGCCTGCCCCCCCATGTCTCTCTCACTCTGTCCTTTTGTAACTATTACCGAGCGTGAGGGTGACCAAGGGGAAGCTGAGGGCGCTCGCCACGCCCGCAGCCCAAGCCGGACGCCTCCTTAAAACCCCAAGCCTCACTCCCCTGGAGGAGCCGTCTCTCCTCCAGGGAAGCCTGGGCACCACCACCCAGAACAGAGGCTCGTCCCTGTCCTGGTCCCCACACCCATGGAGCACCCATAGTGACACCAGGCTGGCCCCCCACTCCATGGAGGTGGGGGGATGCTGCCTGCGGAGGGTGACTGAGGGCTTTGTCCAGGGAGAAGTGCAGGATGAGGCTGTGGGGAGGAGACCTGAGTTATTAACGCCCCTTGAGCTCTCCTCCCCCACCCGTTTTGAGACCTACCCTCCACCTGCCCGGATACCTCTCGATGTCCGCCCCCCAGTGGGGTTATTTTTGGACGTTCAGGCCGGGATGCCGCCTGGGGCACAGGGGTGATGCCCAGGCAGACGTGTGGATTTAAGGGTCATCCTCCCCGGGGTGTAGGGGCCCTGTTCTGGGGCAGGCAGGACTCAGGAAGCCAGCTGAAAACTCCATCCTTGCCCACAGGACAGCAAATCCCCACGTGGAGGGCATTAAGGGCGTGGTTAGCCACAGCTTGGGCCCCCTCCGCCCCTGCCCTGAAGCTCCCCTCCTGGGGCCAGGACCTCCCCATTGCACTTGCTGAGTCCACCTGCCCTGAACACCACGCCCACTTAGCTAAGACTGCCAGGAAAAGCCGGTTTGGGGCGCCCTGCGGAGCCCCACCCACGTGGGCTGCCACTGACGTCCAGCAAGTCCCCGGCAACTCCCGCGCCAGCCTCCAGCCCCGGCACCCAGAGCCTAGAGGATGGAACCTCTTCACCCGGCCCGGTGCCCCAGCAGGCCCACCTCCCGCGGTCCCCCTCAACCTTGCCTGGGTCCCTCATCAGCAGCCCAGCCAGACCCGGGGCAGCGGGCATGGCAGACGGCTTCCTCGGAGTAAAGGGGTGCTCAGTGTTAGAACTGCGGGCCTGGGAAAGAAGTGAGCCCGCCTAGGAAGGTGGAGGGGGTGTCTCCTGCAGGGAGAGAGTGTGGACCCCACGCCCTGTGCCCTCCCCACTCATGGCCTCCAGGTTTACAGACGACGGAGGAGTTCAGAGAGGGTCGCCATTGCCCAAAGTCACACAGCGAGGGAGGGGGGCAGGGAGGGACCAGCGCTCTCCAGAGCACCCAGACAGCAGGAAACAGCCCGCCTGGACCCTCATCTTTTTTCTTTTCTCCACTGTGGGGCTCTGCTGCCAGAGATGCCCTTCCTGGGAGTCCCAACCGCGACAGACCGGCTCCCCTCTGCGGGTCTAGCTTTGGACTAATCACCGGGCGTAGGGAGCCTCTGCGTCAGCGTCCCACCCCCAAACCCAGGCCCATTTCCGAAGAGGGATCGCCAGCCCCTGCCTGGCTGCAAATGCCCCTGTTACCTCTACCAGCTGCCTGACCCCGGGCGAGTCAGGGGTCAGGCCTCGACAGCCACATCTGTGAGATGGGGACGGTGGCATCCACCCCCTCCCTGCAGCCAAGCGGGCGGACCGAGCGCTGCGCCGGGGCGCCACCGTGTGGTCTGTCTCAGAACTGCACCGTGCTGCCTCCCCGCAGAGCCTTTCGTCCTCTGGGGCTTCTTCACCGGAAGGTAACAAACAGTAAAGGCAGTGGCGTCACTAGGGTTGGTGTCACCCAATGCGGTAACTCATGGGGTCACACCGTCCCATGGACCTCCTCCTGTACCAGACCACATAGAATCCTTAGTAATGTTTTTGTACTGATGTTACTCGTAAATCGTAATTCCCGTATATCACTCTTTCTTTTCCTTTAATTACTACTTCATTCTCAAAAAAGTTATTGATATAGGATCACAAATACTAATTACCACAATATTGTAGCTAAAACACTGGAAAATTTGACAAAATCAGCGACTATAAAAACACCAGAGATAACCAAAACAACAGCGCCTGCTCGTAGCACGTGCAGAGAAACCACGTGATTCGAAGCGTCCTTGTGATTGGGTAATAATGACAGCTCTGGCCCGAGCGCATTAGAAAGTTCAAAAAGTAAATTAGCATAGAGTTTTAGCCTTGTAGGTATGTTGATACATGTAAGCTGGGCTTATGAAACATGTTTTTGTTGTTATAACTACAGGAATATTTTTACAGACAGTCATTTTGGTGTCACCCCCTCTGACAGGGTCACCCGGTGCGGTCCATACCCCCCCAACCCACAGTGACACCATTGAGAAAGGTGCTGCCATCAGTAATAACAACAGCTGACAGGTCTTGAGCAGTGGGGCTGACAGGCTCTGCACTGAGCAGGATCCACGTATGAACCCTCTTGATTCCCCCACCAATGCTAGGAAGTGGGTCCTATTATTTACCCTTCCTTACAGATGGGGAAACTGAGGCCCAAGCCCCATAGCCAGCAGGCAGTCTGGTTGTAGAGCCTTGGGTTTAACCCCATCTATCCTGCTGGCTGCTTGGGGCGAGGCCCCAGGGAACTGCTTCCGCTGACTTGTGGCACCAGCCCTGTGCACACCGGGTCCTCCTGGGGACCCCACTCCAGAAACCCTGATTCATCTGGCCCAGGTGGCTCCTCTGTGCAGCCAGGACCACCTTCGCATGAACCCCATTTGAAGGAGGAGGAGGGGCTCAGGAGAGCCAGGACAGGCGCTCAGGCCCCACAGGCAGCAGTGATGGAGGCAGGGAGGGGTCCAGGCCTTACTCTTGCCACCTCACCCCACCAGCCCCCTGGTTTCCAGCGCTCAGAGGGCGAGACCCAGACCTGCAGAGACAGGGCACGTGGAGCCATGGAAGGCTGCCGGTGCAAAGGACCATGGGTTCAAGTCCTGACTCCGCAATGGCCTGGCTGTGCTGGCGTCTTGGCTTCCTTCTCTGTGAAGTGGGCATGCTCAGCGCCTGTCTCCAGTGGGGATTTGAAGAAATAATGATGGGGAAGTTTAGGTTCAGTGACTGAGGGATGTTTGCTCAGCCAGGGGGCAGAAAATGCAACTGAAGTCACTGGGGATGGGGGGAGGTGGGCAGCCCCTGAGACCCCTCCAGATGCCAGGTGGTGCCCCTGAGTGCTGAGGCCTGGTGTCCCGCGAGCCTTTTAGATGGGCAGTGAAGGAGGTGGGAGGAGGCTTTGTCCTGTGGGGGCATGGACTGGGTGGGGTGGGGGGCTCTTGTGTGGGGAGGAAGGGGTGAGAGGGTGTGGACGGGGCAGGGGGGTTGCAGCAGGCCAGATCAGGGGATAGGGCAGGGCTGAGGGCCCAAGAATGAGATGGGAGGAGACAGTGGCATTTGGGGAGCTGCTTGTGGGCAGGGCAGTGTCGAGTGACGAGCGGGTTTGGATGTGCAGCTGGGGCCGCCATGGGCAGGGACCTGGAAACAGCGGTGTGAGGAGTATTACCTGCTAAGGGCCCAGCCAGGTGCCCAGGTGGTTGAGCAAGGGTCTGGGGGACTGGGAGGACCCTCCCTCTGCAAGGAATCCAAAGCTGCTGGAGGCGCCCCAGAAGCTGGATCCTCTACCTGGGCTGGCTGGGAACCCTGGCACATCCTCAGCTCCACCCCACCCCACCTCCAGTGAGCATATCACTTCCTCCCCTGAGTCTCGGTTTTCCCATCTGCTAAATGGGGTGGTTGCTCAGAGCTATCATTCAGGACTGATATGATCACATTCAGATGATGTGATCAAGGCCTCCCACTTGTGTGGAGGAGGGGCCCTTCTGGGGGCACGGACCCCAGGTGGGGGGTGGGGGTGGTTTTTCTCTGCATGAAGATGAGCTTCCAAGTTCTGCAGGGCCCTTGGATGGCCCAGAGGCATGGCCCAGTATTCACTGACCCGAGAACACCCCTAGGTCCCCAGGAGGAAGGGACAGCTTCTTCCACCCCACCCCCACCCCCATGAGGGTGACTGTCTCACTGCCTGGGGCCCAATAAGAGGAAGGGCGGCAGTTCTGCGGGGTGTGGCAGGTGGAGGCCATGTCCGCCTGCTCAGCTCCAAGCCACCTGGGGAGTCAGTACCCTTGTCCAGATCTCAGCGCTCCAAACCAGCCACCCTCCTGTCACCCTGACCCTGCACCCTGCCCATCAGCAACAGGCTTCATAAGGTAGGCGCCTCTCCTGCTAAGGTGGCACTGTCTGGTGGGCATTTCCCGGGCATCTGTGGGCTGCAGCTTCCAGAGCCAGGCCAGCCCTCAGAGAGACCTGCCTCAATGCCCTCCACCCCCAGATGAGCAAGCTGAGGTCAGAGCACCACGACGCGGTCCAGCCGTTCATTCATGCAGTCTTCACACATTTATTGAGCATTGACTCTGTACTGGGCCCTGGGTGGGCCCAGGGGGACTCAGACAAATCACACGCAGACCCCGCCCTCGAGGCCCTCACAGCCTGCCAGGGCGGTCGGCCATGTCCACGGACACTCCCAATACAGTGTGGTCAGTGTGTGTTAGAGGTAGCACAGATGACCAGGGGAGCACAGAGCAGGGGCCCCAGCCGGCCGGGGGTGGCAGGGAGGGCTTCCCGGAGGAGGTGACACCTGAAGAAGGCTTCAGGGAGTGAGCAAGAGTTAGGTTGTCTCGGCAGAGGAGGGCCTGTGCCAAGGTTCAAGGAGGGAGTTAGGAGGACGGTGGTCAGCAGGTGGCGGGGAGCGCCGAGGGGGTGAAGCAGACGGCGGTTGGCAGAGGGCCCACTGGGAGCCAGCATGGAGAGTGCCCCAAGGACAGGGGCAGGGTGGTGGGGTGGCAGAGGAGGGCGGCGGCCCTCGCCCAGGAGTCCGATCCTGCTGGAAGCCCCGGGGCGGGCGCCCTCAGCAAGGCGGCGGCGGGGGCGCAGGCTGCCAGCCGCGGGGCCGCAGGGTGCACAGCACGGGGTCCAGCGGCTTGAGCGTGGCCTGCTCCTGCAGCCCGAAGCGCTGCCCGGGCACCAAGCGGAACTCGAGCCTCTGCAGCAGCTTAGCCATGACCACCTTCACCTCCATCTGTGCACGGGAGAGGGGGCACGGGGCCAGGGAGCGCAGGCCGGCCGGAGAAAGGAGGCAGGAAGGAAGGGGTGACCGCCACGCGCCACGTCCGCCCCCTGCACAGAGCCTCTCGGACTCTCCTCTCCGGAAACCTCTGTACAGAGCCCGGCCAGGTGGGGCTGGCTCAGCTGGGCCCCCAGCCTCCAGCCTAGAGGGCCTCAGGACAAGCCACCCACTGCAGCCGCTTCTGGGCAAATGGCGCTGAAGCCCCGTGGAAACCCCAGCCCCGCCCCTCCTACTTGACGGAAACCCCAGCCCCGCCCCTCTATCTCACAGAACCC